TTAAGTCGCTCCCATGCCCACATGTGATGTAACATGATGAATCTGACCAGGAACTAGCTCATGTTCAAAAAAGCATTTCTTCTATTGTTTTCTTTTAAACCAGACCAACACCCTAACCCAGTTCACTGTTCACCACGTTTGCACAACAATGACTGTGCAAGATTAGGAAGAAATGACTAGCAGCTGCTTCAGACAGCTTGCCTATGGAAGACTTCTCTTTCTGGAAGTGCTGATGGCTTTGCTTCTCCCTCTGTCTATAGCACTTTCTCAGTTTACACCAAAGCATTTCTAGAGACAACCCCCTTCCAATTCAGACAGCCCTTTCACCCGTGCCTGTGCTGACTCTGTTAAGCTTTAGGGTATGCAGCATCACCACACAGCCACCAGCTCTTCACCTTACACACTGGAAGAGTGAAGCAAATGGAAAATTCCAAGATGTACTAACCAATTAGATCTTGGAAGTCCTGCTGCACATGCAGCTTTATAGAATTTATTACCAAGAGAGCCTTGTTCACCATATTTCACTTCAGCACATTACAAAAACAAGTTACCAAAAATTGTAACTGATGGGAAACAGACAATTGAGGATTATCTCCTACACTGGTTATTTCACCTAAATGAAGTACTCCAGCCCTAATTTAACCCACCTCAAATATATCCAGCAAGCTTCCTTAGCCCCACTTAACATTACGTGTATTAAGAACCAGCAAATGTACTGCAAAGCATCTTCTGCCAGACTGGAAGGAGAAATTCATATGACAATCAGCTTTCTTGCTTTCCTCACGCATTTCAAGGCAAAAGGTATAGCAGCACTAACTGGAAACTGCCAACCAAACAGTAAAGACAAAAATGCAGAAGCTGAATGACACAGCAGTAAAAGGGAACAACATACATGTGACTTGATATAATCACCTATAAAACAGGCTTTTTTAGGACAACTAGCAGATTGATCTAATCACTTTAAAGTGATGGAGGTGGGAAGGAATCACTGGAGAGACTGCCTGACTGAAGGGTAACCTAATCATTCAACTAGTTCAGAAAACAATACTATTGTTGACCGTGCATCAAAGTGCATATCCACAGCACCCGTGTACGGGTACCGCATATTGTGAAATGCCATACCAAGTAAATACTTGCTCTGCTAAATAGCTGTTGTTCTAAGATAAACATAAATCACTGCAATTTGAATTCCCTATCAGTTCAGACCTTCTTATCCTCTCCTGTCACAGCTTCCGCTTACACAAGAATTCAGTATCCTTTCTATTGCTCTAGTCACCATGCACAGTGTAATTCTAATGTAGACCAGCCCACTAATGAAGATAAGCAAAGCTCAAAAAAGAAGAAGAAAAAAAAAAGATAATAGCCAACACTGTAAGAATGTAAAAAGTTTCCACACTATTTGATTTATTCCTGGAATATCTTGATTCAATAGTCTTTCAATTTAAGCCTGTTAGGATGTCTGCCTTGTAAAACCAGATGGTAGCCTGTACAGTACATAGGGCACTCACAGCCTACTGTTCCCAGTCAGGATAAGACAAGGCCCCTGACACACAGTGCAATAGCTGATTAACACATTCCCTAATCCACTGCAAGTCAGAAAGCAAGTGAAAAGGTTGTATGTATCACTACACAGAAATAGAGGACTGGGAAGCTGGGGTCAAGGGAAACCTGGGCATCTTATAAGCCACATTCTATTACCAAAACATTAACCTATATTTTCAGCTTCTTCAAAAACTTATTGCTGCTACAAGCAAGCTAATCTGAGCAGTAGTCCCACCTTCAACCTAGCTAGCAGAGTTTACCCACCTTAGCACTTCTTCCCCTTGCAGAAACCAAGTAAGCGCCGCAAGCAAGGAAGTCTTCCTACCTACAGCATCAGTGGGCTCTGTTTGAAAGAGCTAACTGCTTCTGACTGGGTGAACACAACAATCCTGACTAAACCTGGCACAAGCATGAAGATAGCATTGCAACCCTGACTTGCAGTGTTATTTTCATAAAACATTTCAAGAAACTGAAACATGCAGGTAAGCTCAAAACAATAATAGATGCCAGAAGCATTTAACATCCCAGTACTCCTCTGCTTGTTATACTGACCTGTGTGTATGTGCATGTGTGCACACGTGAGAGTGGGTACAAGGAGCAGTAAGAGACAGGGAGCGAAAAAATCAGACTTTGAGAAAGAATGGTAGAAAAACTAACACTCTTTCCAGTAATGTCTAGACATTCTTCAAGACCTTCAGAAGTAATCAGGCACCATCCTTGTGTTAAAGACAGATCACACTTTAAATGACTGCTTATACGGCTTACCAATTCAGGATTCCAAGATAATCCGTTTCCCTGATGCTCTGGCTAGCTGCTCTAGGCTCACCCACCATACAAGAGATTATACCTAGATTAACTACTCACACCACAAATGTCCAAAGAATCACAAAACATTTGGGAACGATCCTTCATTTTTATAAGAAAAGGAAGCAACCAAGTTCTCAGATGACTGAGCATAAACAAACAGGACAAACTCCAATGCACACACGCAGCCATACACAAGAAAATAAGCCTAACACTTGTTGCCTAGATTTAGTCATGAAGCAACAACTACGTGCCTGGCCTCACAAAACAGACCTCAACCTGTACAACACATCCCACTTAGTAACATTTCTGTTTCACTGCAGGTTATTGGCCACCAAGCATATCAAGAAGGAGAAGAGCCACAAACCACAGCAGCTAACTGTGCAGAACGCTCCCCAGCCACATATCACATCTGGGCAACCAAGTGGCAACAACACAGAACAGAAAGTTACTTCTGCCCTTCCACTTGCTTGGTGGAGACTCACTTCTCAGTTTCTCATAATATGAAAATTCAGCACAAGAAAAAAGGAAGGAAAAAGAATCCCTGGTAAACTGCAGGAAGTGAAGCAACACATGGGAGGCGAAAAGCAGACTGCTACACACCCTTAAACCCTAGAGAAGGTCATCGTCTCAGTACCAATCAGTTAGTTACCTGGGATATCCAAGTGGACAGAACAGCTTGCAACATAAGTCCCCATGCAAGGACATAAACCTTGTGTCAACTCCACACTTAAAAAGAAGGGGGGAAAAATAAGTATTTTCAAAGAAAACAGAAGGATTAACTGTGTGTGGTATAAGCATGGGGAGGAGAAGCCAACAGGGGATAATTTCTGATTTGAAATAAATATTCAATAGTTATATATATATAAAATAGTTATATATATATATATATATATAAAATAGGCACAGAATCACTGTCCAACACAGATAAAATAGCTGTTTTAGCATCCATTTAATCCTTTAAATTGTAATCTTCCATTACCCAACCTAGAGAAGATCTTCAAAAGAGTATCTTGCAGCTTTGCTTGCCTTTAAGATACTGCATTTGGTTACATACTTCATGCACTGCAGCAATCTCTTTTTCTTAGCTTCCCATAGCATTACTGCAGTTCTACCTTTTGTTGTGGTCAGGGGAAGTATGTGCCCTTTTTTCTTTTGTCTCCATATATATTTTCAAAGAACTAAGTTTTACTCTAAGCTATATATTCAGCTTCATTCCAAGTATTACACTGCCTCTGAAGGCGTACAGCAAGCCTTAGCAATCTCTATTTACACTTATTGCAAAATGCAGAAGTTTAGCTTAACGACAGCCAAAGAGCAGTGCCATTTGGAAGGAAGTTCCTCACCACTGGGCACGGATCCTCAGACTTGCAGGTTTTTGTTTTTTTTTTTTCCCAGAAGTTTCCAGATATGAATAGACAACAGGGTTCTTTAGAAATTGCTACTGATTTCCTTTGTGCAGTTTCAACTACTAAGCAAGTATTACCAAGCAAAGCCACTTTCACATGGCACACAAACACTGGTGCCTCCCTTCTATGCATACACACAGCTGCTTTGGGAAAGTTGCTTGTTTTCATTTCAAAATTAAATGGTAAACACAAAACAATTTACCCCGTCAGTACGTATGCCACAGCAAAGCTAAGCTTTATCCTTGCCATTACTAGCACTCCAATATTAGCTGCGTACTTACTCTCCATTCACACCAGTCACAAACACTTGACTTTGGCTGATGTCATTACTGCTCCACCCAAATATTTCACCGTTGACCAAACACAAAAGGTGCTTTCTAAGTTGTTTCCTACAACTCTGGCTTCCCAGCTGCCACTCACCTCCCTGCTCCACTGCGTCCTCCCTCAACACAGAGGACAGGTGTCCCATAACTGCGCAACCAAAGACACGAACCAGAGAGGCTGATGCGCATCATGGTTGCCACACGCCACGTCGCTGGGCCCCGGCAGACCTGGCATCTATGTGAGCAGCACAGTCCTGCTCCGAGATGCTCTAGGTCACATCTGCAGAGCGATGACCGACTCTTTGCATTTTGCAAGACAATGACACACCTGAACGCCACATCGTCCCATGCACACTGGACGTTTTGCTTTCCATTTGGAAGGAGAAGGAGCAAATTCGTGCAGAAAACACACATGGCCAGTGTGAGAAACCTCACCAGCTGGAGAAACCTCCACCTCAGAAACCTCTGGCAGCTAAGCCAGAGGAGGTGGATTTTCAACCGAGCGGCTTCCTCGGCCGTCTGGGGAACAGCCAAACGGCACGCAGCTCTCAGGACGGCCCTCCACGTTAGCAGCCCACCAACAACAAGCAGGGGAGGCGTTTAAAGAGCGGGAGCGCCTCTACCCAGCAGCAGGGCAGCGCGGTACCCCGGCCGGAGCTCTCCCCGCTCCGGGGCCTTCCCGACGGGCGCGGCCGGCCCTCCGCCCCAGCGCCCCCCGCTCCCTGCCCGCAGGGAATCGGCCGTGCCACGGGGCCGAGCCGCCCCGCTCCCCAGCGCGAAGCAGAGCGGATCGGCGCCCGCAGCCGCCGCCGGCTCCCTCGCCTCGCCTCGCCCGCGAGGACAGCTCCCCCGCCGCCCCCCACAGCCGCCCGAACCACGGGCGCAGCGCCAAGGGGACAAACGGCGGCCGCCCCTCACTCACCGGCAGCCAACGAGGCGACGGCGGCCAGCAGGCAGGCCGAGAGCGGCAGCCGCGCGGCTACGACAGCCGCCGAACGTCCCGCGGTGCCTCCGGCCGCTGCCATTTTCCTGCCGCCACCTCCCCGCGCCCCCATTGTCCGCCCCCGGCCGCCGGCCCGCCCCCTCCCGCCTCGCGGCCCTCTTCCCTGGCCGGGATAGGGCCCCGACGTTGTCACTCGCACACACCTCCCGCGGCCCGCTCGTCCCCGCCCCGCTTCTTATCAATGATTGGTCAAAATGCCGATCCGTCAAATCTCGGCGCCCAATCCAAGATGGAAGCGCGCCGTCCCGCCTCCCGAGCCGGGCACGTGACCTGCTCTCCCCGCCCCGCCGGGCGGTGCCGCGAGGGCGTCGTTCCCGGCGCGGTGCGGGTAGCGCGGGGTCGGGTCTGCTGGGAGTGCGCGGGTGCGTGTCGGGTGGCGTCCGGGAAGCTGAGCGCCTAGCGGCCGAAGCCCGTGAAAGGAGCCGGGCGGCACCCAGCAGCGTTCGATGGCAGCGCGGCGGCGTCCGGCCGCTGCTTCCCGGTCCTCCGGGGGAGGGTGGTTGGGGTGAGACCCTGCCGGCTAGGAGAGCCGGCTTGGCACGCGTTACCTGCAGCACGGGCTGCTTCCGCGGCCCTTCTGGCTGCCAGCAAGATAAACCGCGTTTGCCTTTAACCTGAAAATTCGAGTTGTATTTTAATGAAGTTGCACACGCTCCAAGCCGGATCACGAGACTATTGCTCACCGCACACGTGAGACTTCCCAGGCCTAAAATACAGGCGCGGGGCTCCCGCTTGCACTGTGCCCGTGCGCACCTTCCTACAGCCGCTCGGGGAGGAGGCCTACGGCTCTCCTGGGATTGCAAACGTCATAGCTTGTGCCTTCGTAATCCATGCCCTGGGGAGAGCTCTGCACTGTGTTTCTCAGCTAACAGTTGGGGAAGTTTTCTAGAAAGCCAGGATGGGTTATAGCTCTGCTCGATGGCTGAATCGTCGCCAAAGATACCACATTAATACCCACTGCTTTACCTTCAGACCCCCTGAATGGCCCAACCCTTTGTCTTTCCAGGCATTTTTTCCAAGGTAGATAACCCGAAGTGCTTAAAAATCAGGCCCTCTTCCTTTTCTAATTTACTCTCCTCCACGGAGTTCTTGAGTTCTCTGTATATGAGGACTGCTCCAAAAGCAACGCCTCCTACTTTAGTATGTTGTCCCACAACATCAGAGGCAAATGCTGGAGGTTTAGCAGTAGAAGTAGAACCTGCCACGGATATCCCAATACGTGTTGTTGCCGTGTGACAGATGGCAGCAGAGGGGCAGTCTGACACAATGGCATCTGACATGAAAATGCATGCGGAGCAAAGCACTGAATTTTTTCTTCCATGAGGAAAAAATGACACCCACTGACATTCAGTGATGCTTGCTGGATGTTTCTGGAGACCAAACAGTGGATGTGAGCACAATGAAAGATGGACTGCGTGGGCAACGTTTTCCTAGCAACAATGCCAGCATAGCAGCTGTGAAACAGTGGGTCACTTTTGCTGGAGCAGATTTTTACAAGCATGGCATGCAGGTTCTTGTTCATTGCTGGCAAATATGCATAGCTAATGGCAGTGACTATGTTGAAAAACAGCTCTTGTGGCTGAAAATTTGCTCTATCAATCAGTGTTATTGTGTGTGTCCTTTATATTTGTCATAGTTTCCATGGAAATAAATTGGAGCCATCGCTTCTAGAGCGACCTACATAGCCTGGCTCGGCCAGGTGAAGCTGCGCGATGACCCAGCTCACCAAGCAGAGAGCACCTGGGAGAGAACCGGGTCTGCTTTTTCAGATCACGGTGACTGAGTTAGTGCCTTCTGCTGCTTTCAGAAGACTTGGCACCACCTCCAACAGCCACCAACCAACGGCCACTGCAACAAGTCGTTCAGGCCGGGCGCCTTCGCTCAGTCCTTCTTATTCAACGGCAGAAAATCTTTTCCCGCGGTGGCTCGTTGGTCTAGGGGTATGATTCTCGCTTAGGGTGCGAGAGGTCCCGGGTTCAAATCCCGGACGAGCCCAATTTTTGTTTTTGTTTTTTTTTTAAATCTACGCCGCCTTGCCGTTCGGCACCCACCCACTTGACGGCTGCTGCATAGGCTGAGCCCTGCGCGCATCGCACAAACAGCGGCCGCCACCGCGCAAAGCGGCGGGACGACCGACGCACTGTTGCATTCTAAGACCAGAAGTAACGTGAGCAAGTAGCGAGGAAATGAATCCCTTCTCCCCTTGCCCTCTCTCCCCCCACCACGATGAGCCTGTCTCCTCCGCATCGCCCCTTCATTCCCCAGTGCCTCCCTTCACCGCTGGCATTGCCCTGTCTGCACCCCTCTGAGCCCCGCAGCCTCGCTCCGTTCTGCCAGACGCGGGGCAGCAAAGACAACAAAAACACTCCGGAGCGCTGCAGCGGCAAAAACAGGAGGAAGCCTCACCTCCCTTCACAGAGGGCTCGTCCGGGATTTGAACCCGGGACCTCTCGCACCCGAAGCGAGAATCATACCCCTAGACCAACGAGCCGCTCTCTGCTAAGCTTTCCCCAGCTGAACACTTGACTCATGTCCTCCGCCTCTCACCCGCAGCCATTCTTTCCTACGAGTATTCTCGTGCTGTGCCGTGCCGTGCCGTGCCTTGCCCTCCCTTCAGAATGCCTCTGATTCTGCTCGCCCTACGCCCACGCCGCTTCTCCGCCGAGCTGCGGCACCTGCTGCGGCTTCGCCCCCCTCGCTCCGAATTTGGCCGAGCTGAGGGCTTGAAGCCGGGCAAGTTCATTCTCAGCGAAGGGAGGGAGCTTCTCCCCCCGTATAGCCGTGGTTTAACCCTGACGGCAGCTGCCAGCATGTTGGTATCTCCTCCCCCGGGCGGGCAGAGCAACGGTCTGAAAGACCGACAGGGCTTTCGTCTGTCGCGACTCACTGCTGTTTGCCTATTCTTGTCCTTACCTTTGCTCATATAGACGCCTGCCTCGCTGATCTGCCAGATCTCTGGGTGCGAGGGGCTCTGCTCAGCGCACAGCCCCAAGCCTACGTTTCATCAAAACGCACTGAGCCTACACCTGAGGGATGGAAGACAGCACTGCCATTTGTGGGCCCAAGCTGGCGTATCCTGGCAGCATGGACACGGCAGGGACATGTACCTACCCGCAGTCTGCTTTTGCAGTGTCGTGGTACTGGCCAAAGAGTTTTTCCAGAATTGCTCTTGCTCAGCCTGTAGAAGGGCCGAGTGTGAGGTTTGTGGGCAGCCTGTGCTAATGTTGCCTGCTGCTTCAGGCTCCGACATTGACCCATGAGAAAAGACACACATTTTGTTCTGTTTTGTTTTTATTTCACCATTTATTTCTTCTGTTTCTCCCTCAGATTTCCACTCCCTTGCTTGGGACACACATGCTCATTCTCTAAACAGGCACACATGAAGTGATATATACAGTCAGGCACAGTCACTCACAGGTGGGACGCTGCTGAGAGAGGAAACAGGATATAGCAAATGATTGCAGCCTGCCCTGGAATACAAGCTTTAACAAACACGTTTAAAAAGGTCCAAAGGCCACAATACTCTGCAACATGGCTCAAAAGGATGCGCAGGTCACATTTGCCTACAAGCCCATTCTGTGTACCAGGGCCAACATGGCTGGCTCTCGACAGATAGCCCCTCAGTGCTCTCATTCGAGGAAAAGAAAGGCAACGCAAAGAGGCATTTCTTCCTTTGTGATTTTAGTGTTGGCGAACAGAAAGGAGACATCCCTCCAAACCCTGGGTTTCATAACAGTGCTATGCTTCAGAGCCCAGTGCAGGAAGGATGTGGGCTGTGTTGTGTTAAATCCTTCTGCCTGCCTGTAGGACAGGGACAGCATGAACCTCCGACTCTGCTCAGCTTAATATTTACCAGAAGGAGCTTTGTGAGGGACGCAGAGGAGCTGCCTGGCCTCTGCCTTTGGTCTCTGTAGCTGTGTCCATATTGCTGAACCCCAGGTGACTGCTGCAGGTGCAAGCACTGGCACCGTACCGCTCATGGCGCTGACAGCCATCTCATGGTGCAGCTCAGCTTTGGGCAGCCCTGGCCAGCGGTTCCCACAGCAGCCTGCTGCAGAGGGGCTACATCTAAGCAGACATGAGCCCAATGGCCGTGAGCTGCAGCAGCATTTTATTCAGTAATACAATCACAGCTTCAAGCACTACTGACAGGAAACCAGAAAATGGACCTGTTTTCTTTTCCTGCATAACTTATTTCATGCTCTCTAGATGTAGATGTAAAAGTTTTTTTAACTTAACAAATGTTAGTCCCATATCTTAGCTATTATACCAAGAGTGAGTGGAAATCTAGCAAAATGCCAATCCTAGATACTTCCAAGGGACTGGCTATCTGTCCAACATCAAATCATATGCAGTCAGGCCACACATTTTGAAATGACTCAGCCATCCAAGAGCTCATCGTTGACTCACAGAAAATTAATAGGCAGTTTCTAATAAGTTGGGATGCTTTCTGTCAAAAGTGTCACTGAGTAGTTTCAAAAAAAAATCAAAAAGCAGAGTCTGGAAGTTAAAAGGACTGATGGACGGGTGGCCCTTCTAAATCAGAACTGGACCACAGCACTGGACAAGAGAACTTGCCCTGCTGACCTACACAGCACATCTTTTCTGTGCCTCATGTCTGTTCGTTGTTACATTCCACCAGCACTAAAATCACTCCAAAGTTGAAGTACACAAAAACTGCCCACCAACCATGACTGGATGTTTCACAGATCAGCCAGCTCAGCCCCCACTTCAAAGGCATTTTATGCTTTATGAACAATTTCCTAGGAGATTTTCCCATATTCAGGATTCACATTGTCTGCATTAACATATATGGAGCAAATACACACTTTTTTTCCCACTATTAAAACATTATTTACTGAGATTTGAAAACCCGAGATATTTCAAAAAAAGCTACTGAAAAGGCACCATAGACATATGTATGTAAGTGATGAACTTCACCTAAGACCAACGGAGGGGAGAATAAAATGACATTCTGGAGCTCAGCAGGAATAAGGAACAGAGAGGCCCAGGAGTGGCGGTGGCTGCCAGGTCCAGGACAGCATGTAGCAATCAGATCTCTGAGTCTCCAGTTACCACCTT